AATACTTTGACTAAAGACAACATCCAGAAGTCTTCCATAGAAGGTTCAGTTCCAATATTGTGACCGATATCTGTGACTTCATGAACTGTCAGGCACAGTTAGTTGCATTAGAGCACATTTCGACTATGTAAAATGCCCAAAGGCATTCTACGCAGTATTTGGTTCCTATCTTATGACGAATATCTGTTGTATCAATAAGAGCCAGGTGTTCTTTGTTGCATTAGAGGGTATTTCTAACACATACATCAGCGGAAAGCCTGCTACTCTGGCCTCAATTGTAGTCTTCTGACTTAAACCTGTCAGATCATGAAGTTTCAGGCGTGATTATTAAGTTAAGTGCTATAAAATATGAAGTGTAAATGCGCCGCCTCATTCACCGAAGAGAGGAGGGGGGGCTCAATGTCAGCTCCATATATTAACATAATGGGGAGGGGGTGCTAAGTCAGCCCCTACATGGACATAATAGAAAGGGGGAGGGGCCACTGCGACAAACTCCCCCCCCCCCCCCCCCCATTAAGGAGAACCCTGCACACGCCTATGATAGACGTACAGTATTCTAGCCGCGAATGTTCATTCGCGGGAGCAGCACACGCACCGAAGTTGATTTCTGATGCATAACTGTAGTTACTTTGGGCACTGGAATGTCAATTACTTCTAAAATAGTCTAAATTGTGGTGGGTGAAGCACTATCAATTTTTAACGTGTTCTCATATCCTCTAAAACAAACGAACCCGCTCCAGTTGAGAACCCACCATTCTTTGCTGAACTTGGACAGTTTTAAGCAAAAAGATCAAGCAACAATGTGCATCAGCCTTAGACGCATGAGTGTCAACGCGGCTGACGCGTGCCAGTGGTTGCGTGCCCTTTTCCTCTACAGGCGCGACTAGACGCTTTTGACGCATAGGCGCATGCATACGCATGCCAGTGGTTGGCACTTTAACACACCGAGTTTACTCCCACGGTGACCACGCCCTGAATTGGGTCATAACATTCTTTTCTTTCCTTTTTCTCCAGCATATTGACCCCACCGAGCATGTACTGAAAACTGAAGAAAGCATTGATTGATATGCGGGGTTTAACGCCCCAAAACCACCATATGATTATGAGAGACGATGTAGTGGAGGGCTCCGGAAATTTCGACCACCTGGGCTTCTTTGACGTGCACCCAAATCTGATCACACGGGCCTACAGCATTTTCGCCTCCATCAAAAATGCAGCCGCCGCAGCCTGGGTTCTATCTCGCGACCGGCGAGTCAGCAGCCGAGTGTCTTAGCGACTAGACCACCACGGCAGGGCACCAAACAAAAAAATCCCCAGACATCCGGCTATGACTTTGCTTTATACCACTTCACTTCACGTATGCAATGTCTGCTGGTAATTAAGGCTATTTATTATCAGCTCTAGCAATGCAATGGTTCTGCTGGCAGGCACAAACAGGACACTGTTCTCGATCCAGTTATTTAGGTGGCTGTGCATGAATATAATCTGAAAATGGGGCATAGACAACAAAAACTTACAGCTGCTCACAAAAAAGGCATAAAATCAACCATGGTACCTGCACAACGGCTGCAATGCCATATGTTGTACTACATACCTTGTGTTCTTGAGTTGTGGAACCACTGCACAACTCGACAACATGGGATATGCTTTTCTGCCACTAAATTGGCAATGCTGTATGAGACTACACAATGATTTTGGCTTTTCCAGCTTGGTGCTATGGTCAGCTTGCCTAGCCTTTGCAACAAGTATCTCCTTTCTATCACCACAATACTGCAAAGAATTCTCATGTCTTTATTCGTGCATGCCAACCCGCAGCCATATCTCTGCTAGTGATACAGAATGTGCTTCGATTAATCTGGCATGATTGTGGCCCTGTGCATGCAGCCGTTTTGGGGGTGTATCTCAAATGGTCGACATCGCCTTGCAATTCAGCGGGTATTCTGTTTTGCAACAGTCACCTAGCACATGTTCGTCGCCACCGAAGCAAAAGTGTACAGTTTTTTATTACCGCAAGTTCCCCTTAAACCGGTTCTCATTCATTCTTACGATCGCCCCGGTCTCCCGTCTTCCAGCTGACGTCACTCCTATGTGACAATATGATGAGATAAGTGACTGCACCCCAAATGTATTGACACAGTGAATGTGGAAATCACTGTACAGCTGCTTTGACCTTGTGTTGCACCACTTGGCTGTGGAGAGGTATATCCCCTCTAAGCAATTCTTGCTTTTATTGCTCTTAACTTAGTGTTACATGAGTGCGCCACTGTTTGTGATCGCACAGAAGTGATCCAACAATAAATGGCACACCAACAAGGTTTCCTACCGGTGAGCAATCTGCCAAGAGCATCAGGGGACAACTCACCCCGGCAACAACCAATGAAAGGTAAATACTCCTCGAGAATTCTAAATCCTTTTCCTAAAAAAGGTCGGTTGAGCAATAATTCCCCCCATCCTACACATGTCAAATTTTAGAGAAAAAAAAAGTGCAGTCAATAATTATGTAAGCACAGAGAAGCAAGTCATGCGTCAACAGTGTCTGCTTCTGGAATCAGCACTTCCTAAATTTCCATGGTCCCTGTTGATGTGCATTTGCACCTCTACAGTCGAACCTCAGTATTACGTGATTGGCCCGGAACAACCTTCTGATACGCACTAAGCAATGTACGAATTAACCATCAATGCCAATTTAGCGGCTCCTTACTGGTCAGAAAATAACGCCACAATCCTCACAAAAACGCACATACACACACGCAGGCACAGAAGCTTTATTTAGGAACAGGCAGCAAAAAAATTCGTGATCTTCACTTGCCGCCGTAGTGGCCTTGCCGTGACGATGGCATTTTCAAAATCGGTGAGGCCACAAGTCAGCCGGTCCATTAAGCCGCGCTTCTCGGTGAAGGCTCGCATCACAGTTACAGCACATGCAGCTTCGGATAACGAGGGGTCGTCATCCACTTCAACTCCCTGTCCTCACTTTTGCTTGAATCAGGACGAGGTGCAAAGGCGACAAAAATGTCGCTGTCGGAAAAGCCCAGAGATGTACCGACGTCTGTGTTCACATCTCAGAAAATGCGGACGTTAACTTTTCAACTCCCTCTCCTTACCACTCGAGCACCTCAACAAGAAGATTCTCGCAGTCTTCAGTGTCCTCACCATCCTCGTTGTCATCCTTGCCTTCTTTTGGCATCATGAATTGTGCTCGCGCGCAACAGTTCTATATCGTTACATGCTGTACCTGCATCCATGAGTGTGCAAGCAGGTGTATAGCACCCAGGAGGTCTATCTTCTACGATTTGTCGACCTCCATGAGCAACTTCCTCCGCAACAGATTTTTACGGTAAATCTGCTTGACAGTGCGGATGCCCTGATCGAGAGGCTAGGCGAGTGCTGTTCTGTTGGACAGCAAAAACAACAGCTTAAAGCCAACAGGTTACCAACACATTGTTGAGTACTATCAGTATGCTCCTTTTCTTGGCAGCAAAATGGCAGTCCCAGCTGACGTACATACTCCTCGAACAGCTGGGCTGTCATACAGGCTTTTTGTTGTGGTTGGAAACAACACCAGATGGCAGTCGAGCGCCTTTGAATAACCGCGGGTTTCCATACTTGCCAATCACCATCAGTGGCAGCTTCTCAGTACCAGTCATATTTACACCAAAAGCGACCGATACCCAATTTTAGCCATGTTTCCCGCCTATGCACTTCTCGTTCTTGAATGCCAATGTCCTGTTTGGAAGCAGGCAATAAAAAGTGCCGACTCATCGAAACTGAAAATGTCGGCGGCATCGTAGGCTGTCAAGGCTTCCTGCAAATCGGTGTCCTGCCATTCAACAGCGCCTTCTTGTTTGCTGCAGCAGCCTCACTCCAAACAGCCTTCCCCACTATGCCGTAACGGGCTGCTTTAAACCCCGACAACCAGCCGTTGCTGCACGCAAAACCAGGGTAGTGCAGCTGATCTGCGAAAGTTCGTGCTTTTTCAGTCAAAAGGGTCCGCTAACCAGCAGGTTCATGCTTCGTGCCTTTTTCAGCCAAAGAAGCAAGGCCTTTTTTACTTCAGGATAAGCGGAGTCTCTGATGTGGTATTTCTTCAAATTGCTTCCCGTGCTGCCCGTCAACTTATTGCGAGCGTTTCAAATTCCACACACAGTCATCAAAGGCAAGTTTTTTTCACAAGCTACTGCAGATTTCTTGGCCCCATTTTGAATGGTGTGAATGATATCAAGTTTTTCTTACACACTTAAGATGTGGTACTTCAGCATAATATGCAGCTTTCATGCACGAATTCAATCACACCCCTCGTGCACAACACAACAAGAATTGAAAAAAAAAAAACACTACAAGCCACACAAGAAGAATGTGGGTAACGCAACACCACCACACCGCCGACACGATCAATACTGAGAAAAAGTGAGTACAAAAGACCGAATAAAGAAATGTGCTAAGCTTGGCTCAGTGCTGTCGAGCACCCTCTACCAGGGGCAGTGACCGGAAGTTCCTGGGTTACCAAAAACCGATCTCGAACGCTATACTTTTGCACGATGCGATCAACAGCAGCCGTACGCACAGAAAATGCATCAACGTGGCCATGTTTTGACATCACTATCACTGGCTGTTACAGTCTGATCGCTGGCTGTTGTATTCCGATCATCACAGCTAGTGTATTGAACTTCTGCGCGCACGAAACCTTGCTGATTTGCAGCCTGTGCATGACTAACGAGAACGAAAATGGTACATACTAACCATATGTAATACCTCAAGCAACTACGGCTTAAGCAGTCAGCCAATACATGGGGTTCAACAGGAACTGGGCGGGGGATTCCTCGCGACTATGTACAAACCGCAGCTACACATTAAGCGGGTACGTATTAAAAAGGTTTGACTTTATGCAGCTCTAGCAGAAAATTTTTGCTTAGAGGCATGCAAATAGGGACGGTGCATGAAATGAGCTTCAGGCATTGACTCTACATATTCACCTAGCATAAAACAGGCAAAATGCGTACCTGTCAACCTTGGCTGCCTTGTGCCATCCGCCATACTCGCCGTAGGGGGCGTTGTCCGGCGTTGACTCTTGTTCTCCTCGCGTTCTTCGGCAAGTTGCCAGATGGGCTTATTGTCACCAGACACACAGCCAACTCCCGTTCGTGCGCCCGCGTCAGCACCTGCTTGTACAGCAGCTCAGCCTCTTTATATTTCCCCTGCTTGAGATAGGCCGATGCCAGGTTGTTTTGGTTTTGGCCACATTCGGGTCATCGGGACCCAGTGTTCGCTCGTAGATGTCCAAAGCTCGCTGGTAGTAGCGCTCGACCTGCAAAACGCATCATGCACACACGCAATCTCAAGTGGGAGACAAGACAATATTGCAGCATCTTATTTCACAGAACCTAAATAAAAATTCAACAACCACAAGGCAATATTCGCATTTTCAAGTCTTGTGCAACTTTTTACTTATTAAATCATGAAATGAGCGAGTTGATCCAGATTCATGTTGAAAAGATAGTGCTGAAAAACCAAAGAAACAATGAAAACACAACATGAGCTAGTGTTGTGTTCCCTGCATTCATCCCAGCCATGTATTTTAGTGGGAACATGAGAGCCATTTACTATATTAACATGCGTAATGAACGCACTTGCATAATAGGCTCACCCCAAAGTTCAGTGATCAAAATTAGGATTTTTCTTTCTCCCGCGTAATAAACGCATCCGCTTCAATGATCTGCTGCAGTTCCACAAAGCGACACCTACGCCTCCTTGCCTGTTAGATCTTTCAGGTTTTTTTATTACACCGACCTCAGTCGGCCACTTCAGCTCGCTACCTACCCCCCCCCC